TCGCATGACTCGCGCATTGGCTCGCATGACTCGCGCATTGGCTCGCATGACTCGCTGGCTCGAACTTTGGCACTACTCCTATATAACGTTTTATGGTGTTAGTTACTATTTTTATTAATTTTGGGAATTTTGCAATGTCTGTTACATCTGGTTTCTGTTGACCACAAGAAAGTGCTTCTATAAACTACAATTTGATTTATGAAAACTGACCAACAAAATGAAAAGTTATGTCATTGAATATTTACGATTTTTACAAAAACTCATGTTCTTATATAACATTAAACTGTCATTTTGACAATGTTGGACTAAGGTGCACAAAACGAACATTTAAGTAGATACAGAAAATTTATTTATTTTTTCTGCAATGTGAGTGTCATGAACCACACAACACCTCAACATCGGTAAAATTAATGTTGAAAAAAACGAACATAATTTCAGTCTAATGTTAGTGCAAAATATCATTAGGCCTTTGTAATCACCATGCGCAATTATCAAGGCAAATAACGCATGCTGATGGTTAATTATGGTTTGGTTGCTATGGTTTTTGTGATGAACACTGTGTAGGGGCGCGTATTGCGTAAAATGTCGCTGCCAGAGTTATAACTTTTTATGTCCCGAGATACAAAGGACAATTTACTGGATACAAATATTATTTTAGAACAAATTAAATGCGCCTATAACACCCTGTTTCAATAGTATATTAAATATTATGGATTATAAAAATAACATTGTTTATAGTAATATAGTATAGTTATAGTAAAAAAAAATAATCCGGGAATAAATTCAAGGCTAAAGGTAATTAACTTTTCATAGCATCCCACATAGCACAACAGCAAAAATGACCTTATCAAGCAGTTACTTTGAAGACAGGGAGCCATGCTTGTCGATCGAGGGAGGGGGAGGATTTTTCCCCTGACTCGCGCTGGTACCGCAAATGTGAAAATCAACAGTAATATTTAACACTTTCTTATGGAGAATATTATTACATATTCTCTGATTAGCATTTATTTTAGACACAGGGGCAGATCCAGAAATGTCCAAAAGTGGGAGCTGAAAGTGGGGCCGATCGAGATAACACCACTCTAGGAGGTCCGGGGGACATGCCCCTACGAAATTTGTGTTTTATAGACGGCCGAAAATAACCTCCGAGGTGTTTTGGGTGATCAATCTTTTCTTTTTCTTTTCCTTTCTTTCCTTTTCTCCCCTTTCTTTTACTTTCCAAAAGGGGAGGCCGGGCTGGCCCGGCCCACTTAAATCCCCACTGAGTTAGTGGTTAAGCCCCACCGACACCAACACCAACCATGCTTGGGATACAATATGTCAAGGTTTTCAAAGTAAAAAAAATTTAATCCGGGAATAAATTTAGCCTAATTCAAGACTAGAGGTAATTAACTTTTCATAGCATCCAAAAATGACACAAAATTGCTCAGTTGCTCTAAGTTCTATATTATATGTGATTTACATAAGTGGTTAAATCATTGTTACAATAGTGGTTAATTCATTGTTACAGTAGTGGTTAATGAATTATTATGGTAGTGATTAATGAATTATTACAACAGTGGTTGATTGTTGTTACAAAAGTGGTTGATTGTTGTTACAACAGTGGTTAAAGTTACATCAGTGGTTGATTGTTACATTAGTTGGTGATACAGCTCCTGCTAGCCTCAGTTGGAAATGTTCCAACCACTTGACTGAATGGCATGTTAAAATAAAAGGCTAGACTACATTATGATCAGAATTGAAGAGTATAGAAAATAACAAAATGTTGAAAGGTGGTGATCTCATGGCTGCAACAGAAATGTACAATTGACATTTCACCCTCAATACCCTTACGGTTAGGCATAATTTCAAACACATAATGGCTTTGAATATGAATAATAATTTTGAAACAAAAAGTCAAACAGGTAAATAATTAAGTATTAGTAATACTGTTTTTGTATAGCACATAAACATTTTAAAATATCTCAATATTTATGAAATATTACTCAACATATCATGTGTTTATTCAACATAGGCATTATAGGAGTATAGGGACTGATGGGATACACTGGGGGTCCACACTGAGAAAGTAAAGTGATTTTGAATTAATTTTGTTAAATTTTCATGCCTGGCAAACTTTGATACATGATTCCATGTTTTTACATGGGAAGGATAGAATTTATACATGTTTGGAACCAGTGACACATACTTATCTTATTTTAATATTTCAGCCTGAGAATATACTACTTGAGTCTGAAGAAAGAGACGATGTTAAATTAATTGATTTTGGATTAGCAAGAAAAGTATCCCCCGGAAACGATACGACCTGTAAACAAGGGACACCGGAGTTTGTTGCACCTGAAATTGTAAAAAAGCAACCAGTTACAAATGAAAGTGACCTGTGGAGTGTTGGGGTTATTGCGTATATTCTGTAAGTGTAGAGGTTCTATGACTGTATTAGCCATGCAACAGTACAATTTTGCATTACCGGATGCATCCGATACAGGATAGAAATTATGCTTCATAAAATACATCACAGGCAAATGTAGACAGTGGCAGTGCCAGTGGGGTTGGGGGGAGCAAGGACTTAAGCCCCCCATCGGACAGAGCTCGTCGGGCAGTCAGACTAAAAATAATAGAAAAATAGGCCCACACCAAGCCAACACATGCCTGTCACAGTCTGAGAATGTCATTTCTGGCCATCCAGAGGTTCCTCTCCTTTAAAAAACCTCATTTGGGAGGGGGAACACCCTCTAAAACCCTTCCCCAGCTTGGGCCTATGAGCTTAAGTCTCCCTGTCGGACATCTCAACCCTCCCCAGAAAATACACCCTAGAGCCGCCACTGAATGCAGAATCAATGTTCAGGATGTTTAAATTTTTAAATAGCAAAGGATGTATTATCATTCTAAATTATTATCTGAAAACATCTAAATTGACACTTTTGGTGGTAGAACACATTTTTCAACATCTTCAAAAAATCTGTTAAATGCAAAACTATCTAATTCAGACTGTTATACTATATTTGATTCTGCACACAATAAATATCAACTTAAAATAAAAGAAGCCCAGTTTATTGCTTGGGGAAATCTCTCACTGAACAAACAACTCATTACAACATCACTTGTTCATTCTAATTCTTAAATACATGACCTACCATAGTATTTACCTTTATATACATTAGTATGATAGGTATGATGACTCCAAAAAATGACAGACGTGAGGCCATAAGTGATTATACGTTTCATTGCTTTAGTACCGAATTTGAAGTGTTTGTCATACATCTGAACTGTAGAATTTAAACCTTTAGTAGCTAATGATGATGTGCGACACATTTGTACTAAGAAATTAATTTTTTTTGCTAATACCAGTGTTGCGAAAAGTAGCTTTTAAAATGGCATGGCTACCAAGCCTGTATCATGATTGAATAATGCTTACTTCCTCCTTCAATGTTTTAAATGCATGATCTTACAAAATCAATTCTTTATCAATTCATAATTTGTTTTAGACTGAGTGGAATATCACCATTTCTTGGTGATACTGACAAAGAAACACTGTTGAAAGTCAAAAGCAATGATTGGGATTTTGATGATGCAGTGTGGGATACCATCTCAGATGATGCCAAAGATTTCATTACAAAACTTCTGAAAGAAGATCCAAGGTAATAAAGCTAAATACTTACTGTATGTTTCGCTTAGCAGGGAAAGTGGTTACAAGAGTATGGAGCAATTTTTTTTCCTTCTATGGTTTAACCATGAGGTCAGGATTCAAATCCATATTGTCCATTTGCCTTGGGTCCTAACAGGGGTTTAGCCAGAAAAACGAAATAGACCATCCAAAATGGAAGTTAGTGGGCGTGGCACTGAGCTGATAGGCAGGCCACGCCCCTCTTTGGGAATCCCACCGAATATTGGTACAAAAATCGTACATTCAATCAATAAATGTTGTTTTTATTAAACCTTGACTTAGTTTTAGTTTAATGTAACATTCGATAGATTTTAAGAATATAAAGAATTGGCTAAAGGTAGACCAGGCCCAACTGATTAGGCCAAGCCGTCCAAGCCGTCACGGTAAAACTGGCCGTCGTAAATAATTGTAAGCCATCCAAAAGACGGCCGGACGGCTCGCTGGCTAAGCCTGTGGTCCATGTGTAGGCAATCACTTGCTCACATATTCATAAATATAAATGGGTTCAAATATTGTAACATTAAATTTACTGATCTGTTCAGTGAGCATAGGAGAATGAATGTTATACACATTTGCTCTGTATCCAATATGGTTGTAAAGATCTTTCATAGTTTCAATTCTTAAGAATTTAAACAATGCAGTAAAGATTTGTTATTATGGCATCCAAAGGACTGTTAAATTAAAATCTTTTTAAATAAACATTTTAATCATTAATATTTAACTAAAAAATTGATCTAAGAGATATTTATGGGTGAAAACTTGCCAACATTTTATGAGATTTTATCTCATATTATTAAGTGATTTTTTTAACTTATATTATATTATTATCATCATAACTTAAAACTGATATGTAAAAACTACTTTACTATTAAATTATGAAAACCCATTTTTGCAATTTGTTTTTTATCCCTTGCTTTGGTTATTAAGCAGTGATCCTTTTGTTGTATAAAATCATTTTATGGTGAAATTATTAACAAATAATTAAGTATTAACAATAAAATCCTTTTAAATAAACATTTTAATCATTAATATTGAGTGTGGACCCATTTCTTCCAGTGCAAGGTTGGGAGCTGAAGAGAGTCTTTATCATACCTGGCTTAAGGTAAAAACAGTCTCTTGATTATGATTATTAAATTCTTAATTTTGTATAACATTTCAAAATTGTCAAAGCAAGGTAAGACATACTGTAAGGGTAAACAACCTAACAGTATGACAGTAAGATACAGATTTGTTTAATATTTACAAAAAGTGGGGGAAAGGGAAAATACACCTTCAGTGTCTTAGAAGATTAATTTGTACAACACATCAAATTGGCTTTAATACAAAATACAACATTTGATTTTGTAGTTCCCTTTCTATTGCAATTATATTGTATTTGTTGTAAAGTATACACTCACAAGTGGAAAAAAGCCAATATTAGTACTTCCAACAATTTTGATGTAATTGGTTTGTTGCATGATAAATATTTAGTGATTTTTTTTTATTGAACCAAGAGATATTTATGGGTGAAACTTGCCAACATTTCATGAGCTAGCTTTCATCTCATATTCTTAAGTGACATTTTAGACTCTATTGCAGAAATATTTTTAGTACGAAAATGGAATTTGGGGACAAAAAACAGCTGAGAAAAATATTATGCATCATGAAGCAGAAACTTATAACAGATATGTAAAAAACTATTAAATTATGAAAACCCATAATTGTAAATTTGTTTGATTCCTTGCTTTAGTTATTAAGCAGTGATCCTTTTGTGGTAGAAAATCATTGTATGGTGAAATTATTTTAAAAAAAATGAAGTATTAATAATAAAAAATAGGCTCCTAGTGGGAGCATGTGTCTACTATTTCTATTGCTAGGATGTTTTATTTTTTTACCTTTCATCAATATATATTTGTACACTTTAAAAGACCTTGGGATATAAGTTTTATCACCACAGTAATCAGTTGATGTTTTGTTGAATTACACAGATTCATATAAATTTGGGATAAAATGACGACCACTTTATTACTATCAATCTTCAATTTCTTATAAGGCAAAAAAACCAATTTTTTTTTTCAAAGCTCAACCAACGCAAGAAAAAGCAGTCAGTTTTTTTAAAAATGTAATTTGATAACGTAACCATGGATTTTAGCCCAGTGTTACTGTTTAATAAGCATGCGGTGGAAGATGGTTAGCCATTGGTCTATAGTACTGAAAAAAAACATTAAACATTATGGACGGTCACTCACAATTTTATATATTTTATATTACTCCGGTTCCAAAGGTTGATGAAATGAAATACACAGAAAATGAGAAAGCAAGGCTTAGCACAATTCGCCTAAAGAGCTTCAATTCTAGAAGGAAATGGCAGGTATGTAATTATTTAAAGTATTTTAAACATAAATACCTGTATAAGAAAAAGTAGAATATTATCGCTTTAACATATTTTTACTCCCGAGCTATGAAAAAACTAAATTCCATATTTTAAGAATGTGGATAATAGGCCCACAAAATGAAAACCAAATTACGGCTTATTTATATCAGCATATTTGTTACATTACAGAGAGCACTGACAGCTGTGAAGTCTGCTGTCAGAATATGTCGTTTGTCATCACTAAAAAGCATGAAAAGCTGTTCGAAAGATGCTCAATCTGCCACTGCAACAGTAGATCCTAAATCTAAAACTCAGACAAAAGCCACAGCAAGTGTCCACACGGAACACATTATTTCCGAAACTAGCAGCATACATTCCACAACAGAAAATGAAGGTATAGATCAACTTTCTGATGTTGCATGTCTAGAAGAAAATCTCAGTGATTGGATACATAAAGATAATGCTCTGCAAACCAGCAATCTACCATCAATTAACAGGGATAATACATTTGCTGATATGAATGCATGCGAATTTAGTGCACTGACTAACCACGATAATGTAGTAAAGGAGGACATAAGATGTGTCTTGAATGTACATTCTAAAGAGACTAAGTGTCGATGTAGTAGAGGTAGTGATACCTGCATTAGTTTGAAATGTAATGATTTGATTGAGCATGCTCCAAATTTAATAATTTCTAAACCAAATGCCGTTGTGATTAACGCATCTGATGGCCTAGGTCAAAGATTATCTATGAAATTTGAATCATCCCATACAATATCTGCTGTTACGATTGAATCATCAGCAGTTGGTTCTACAGTTCTCTCAGATACACTTGTTTCTGATTCTGATACTGTCACTACACTTGTGGGGTTCTTTTCTGAGCACACGTCTAACTCAATAACAGAAGCTCTCCCAAATTCAGCAGCTGATTCAAAATACCAATTACTGACTAATGAAAAGCCAGAATCAAAGCTAAGTTACATTAATAACAACACGAACACGGAAAGCAAAACTAATGGAGAGAGCAGTGCAATTGCTAGTCAAGGAAGTGCCAGTATTAGAAGACGACGACTTGTCAAATCATTGACCTTTGACCAGGACCAGCAGATATCGTGCACATCGCGAAGAAGGATATACTCAGATAGTGATGAACCGCAGCAGAATTCATTGGAGAGTGTTGATAGTGTTTTTGGTGACAGTATTGAATATATAGAATCAAAAAAGTCATCATCAACATCATCATCAGATTCAACAGTACCAAGGCGTCATCCTTCAATACAACGGCCTTCAACGCTCTTTAGCATATCTGAGGGTACTGCTGAAAATGGCAAATCTACGCATGGGGAAGTGTTTAGCTCAGCGTCATCTTCTAGAACATTAACAAAGAGGAGGTCAACATATCAGACATGGTCACAGGAATCCCAAGATTCAATTGATATTCCCATCACTGAAGTTTCTCAAGAATTTCCCTTGCAATTAAACACAGATATCATGGCTGCAGACGCTGCCCGCCAATCACAGTCAAAGAAACGACGATCCGGATTTTCATTCCGACCAGGACAGGATTCAATTCCTGCAAATGCATTTTTGAACACAAGTGAAGAAGAAACTCCCAAGATGCTCTCTGTTGCTTCGGTAATGATGAAGCTCCACATGAACAGACAAACATCAAGATCACCGTCGACTAGCGAAGAATCAGATGAAGCAAAATCTAAAAGGAAGACTAGTGAAAATATTGAAAAGAAGAAATTCACTTTAGCTGGTTCTCGAGAGCTTTCACCCGAAGATGTTGAAACAGAACTTGATTTCCTCACTACTTCAGATGATGAAAAATTAAACTTTCCTTTTGTTTACAAAATGTGGCTTTTAAAAGATAATCAGTACGCACACATTGCAATTGGTGGTTTATTTGGAATTTTTGTTGCTATACTAATCAAGCTTCTATTTTCTATAATCTTTGATGCCATTTTATAGTTTTCAAGATTATTTTTAACTTCAACCAAATTTAATATATTTTTAAACATATGTATAAATTGAAAAGAAATGTGGTCATGATTATGAATAATCACTTTTACACATTTTGAAAAACTCCAAATATAAAAGAAGATTCTGAAAGTACAATATTTTAGTTTTTTAAAATAATCTCTAAGGTTTATGACTCATAATAAAACATGCACAATATCAAGCAATTATCTTTACATTTACATATTTACTTATGCAGCATCTACTTAGATACATTTGCGTAATCACAAGATATTAAACTTGGTATAGAAAAAAAATATGTTGTTCCAATGGATCACGATTTGTATAGTTGCTGTAACGCAATTGGCCCTTTTGTAAACCAGACGTGCCAACCCTGAACTGCTGAATATATTTATACAGTTTCTGCGCATGAATAGAAGTTTGCATCGTACAGTACATGCGATCAATTTTTGGAAATAAACAGGATAATTTTTTGAGGATTCATTATATTTGTAAGGCATACTCAATAGGCTATGGCCTCAAAACAGTATTCATTTGTTAAACTATTTCTTTTGTTTTAACTCTACTGTAAATAATTATATATAAAAATACACAAAAGTTTATAAAAATGTACTCTTGGAGGGAAGCTGTTTAAAATACTTGCCTTCAACTTGTTTCACAAGCAGTCCATTTCTTTTTTTAAGTACACCATTGATGTATCAATGAGGTTATGCATTCACTGCTGTCTATCTTTTTAGCAAGATTACGTAAAAACTAATAAATGGATCATCATAAAATTTAGTGGAAAGGTACATACAGTAATATTCAAAGAAAGACAACATTCAATTTTTGGAAGAAAAGTTCAAAGGACAAGGTCAAGGTCACAAAAGTTCATTTATTTACCCTCGAGCATAAAAGAAAACAATGGAATCGCCCATCCTACTCAGGCAGCGCTCAAGCAAATAATGTACCTGAATACAACAGGTGATTCCTTTATTTTCTTGAGGGTATGCTGCAGTTTTTCCCATTATACACAGCCTGATTATTGTTGGTATTCAGGCACCCGGTAAAGGTATGGAGTGACTGATCTAGTTTATATATTATTAGTTCCTTTGTGACCTTAGGTCACATGGAACTAATGCAATGGTTCACATGTAAAACGTGTGTATGAGATGTGACACCAAAAGAGGTCAGCATATTTATAAACAAATAGGCTCCGAAACGGTGCATAGCGGCAGGTATACATTGTGCTCGATAGTTGCTGGTGGACATGCAATTGTGCAAGAAATGTTTGTTTTTTCGGTTAAAATGAAAAATGTAAGCTGTAGGCGATAAAACATATACCCCCTACCACCAGTTTTGAGTCGTTTTTTAGTCGAAAATTTGATTTGCGCATGCGTCGTGTCAAACTTTCCCGACATTTTGTTTCTGTCGCGAGATGCCTAGAAAGGTTCTTTATGTTGTTTTTGCGACTGTCAGTAAACATTGAGCAAACTGAGATAGTTGTGGGATATCAGCCACAAACATGAAACATGTATGTGGTTGAATTTGGATGGGAAGACCGAGAAAAAGTATAGTATTGGAATGCCATTGGTGCCACAATCGATTTATTTTTACACGTTTTCACTGATCAAGACAAAATTTAGGGATTGGAATCCAGTCTACACAAGACAAACATGCACACACAATGCTTTACACAAACTAAATCTCAATTTGGCCGTGAGAAAAAAATTTTGCAAGCACCGACAGGAATTGAATCCATGACCCTAGGATTGGAAGGCAGGCATCTTAATGACCAAGCTATTCAACTCCACTCCTATATATACATATATGGATTGAAAACTCCAAAATAAAAGGTTGGATAGAAACCCTGTCATCATGCAAGCCTGGAGTTTAGTGGTTTGATGCTGCATTTCATTTTACAGATGCAATCATATTTATGACAAAAATGTGTTATAAATATAAATGTGTACATTAGGGTTGGCACATGGTTTACAAAAGGGCCGAATACTACTCTACTATTGCAGGGGCTACGAAAACCCCCTGCTTTATACCTGACATATTTTTCAGAGACCTGTATGTGATTTCCGGTTGCCAGTACATGTACACAATCAATGATGGGTACCTCTTTTTGTACTGCATTAGGAATGGGGGTAACATTTAGGTCCACCATGTTATTTTTTTTAAATTATTGGTACCAAAGTTTAGAATAATATATTACCTATCACTTGGTATACAATGTAATTACATGGTTAATTATGTCTCAGGAGGTCAAAGGTCATCTCCCAAAAATCAAATTTGAATTCACCCAAAATATTATTAAAACTTTCAATAAAATGGATGAAAGTTAGCTGAAGTAAAACATATATTTGAAAACATATATAGATAAGATAGTAACATATTGATTGCTCCACTCACTGCAGAGGCATGGCTCCAAAAATGTTTTGCGTTCGACATTATTTTTGTTATGTGGGTGTGTCTACATTATCGATTCATTATTAGATTTGATATGAAAGAAAAAGCTCTTAACTGGCTTTAAATAGCATTTATGAAGCTGAAAAATTAAAGTGAAAGTTTGCTTTATTATTATATATAATTAAGTCGCGACACCATCATTTTCATTATAAACAGTGAGAATGACTTATAAAGCAATTATTTTCAAGTTAGTTCGGACTCCACAGAAAACAGAAGCCTAATAGGAGCCATTATTGTCTTCAGCCCTGAGGGCTTCAGGCAATTTTTTCAGGAAATAACGGCTCTTTCGGCCTCTATTTTCTATAGGGTCCTCAGAACTTGATAATATCATACTTGTGACTTAACTAGTAAATGTATGAACTAATAAAGTATTGAAAATGGGGTATCCACCTACTCTTCTATATTATTATGTAATTGTCATTGGTGTTTACAAATTACTTTGCCTATACAGCACCATTTATTAAATTAATAGATTTATCTATATAAATGCAGTTCACCCTCCAATTCGAGACGCCTCTAATTCCGGACAAGTTTTAAACAAAAATGCACCTTTAATTAACATCAATGAGTGTTAAAAAAATTAATATAGAAGTTCATTTTAACATAATTATCTCACATTTTATCCATGACATGACAATTTTATTTCAAATCAAATCAACATACAAAATAAAGTAAACTAAATAAAATAACATTGTAATAAAAACATATTATCAAATAAGCAGTTTTAAAATATATTTAATGCATGTATCATTGAAAATTAAAAAAAAAGGGTTAAGCAAAATAGGCAAATGAAAAAATACAAATGCCTTTAAAGCTACGTTCACATCAAAGCCCGGACAAAAGCATAGTAAAATATGGGTTCAGTGGTAAAGAATAGGAGCGTTCACATCAAATTCGTACGATTTCCAATCCGGACTCCGGTCCGGACCAATGGATCTGCACCATTTGTATCGTAAAATCGTACGTTTTTTTTTCTTGGACCAATCAGCAACAAGCGTAGTTGGTTCGAACCAATCGAACGCATACGTACTTAAACCGAATAACCATGTTCCATGTGTGATGTGAACACAGCGTACAAACCAGACCTCTGCGAGGGCCAAGGTTCCTATGCGGGCATTCGTAAAATATTGCACTACTGTATTTTCGATGATGTAGACATGGCAACTAACGAGGGAGTGCTTGTCTTAATTTCAGATGACAAACACACTAGCCTTTGCACAGCCATACGCAACGCATCTTCTTTGACATCTTCCTGTGGGCATATTTTAACTAGTGTTTTTGCTACAAAAATAGCTTGGTACCCCTGTTCAGTTAGAAATTTATGAAGTTAATTTTGTACTTTTTTGGGGGAAAAAACAATTATTTTCTTCAACTGTACTAATAAACACTTCTACAAGAAAGTCAAACTTCAGCAAGAACAAGAAAAATATTCACATGTACGGTATATTAATAGGCTAGGCCTAGGCATACACCATTAATTAATTGAATTATAGTAATAAAAACACTATAACGTACTTTATAAATATATATATAACCTGGTAGTCCTATCAGTAGAAAATATACAGGTATTGGCCCTTTTTAATATTTTAATTGATAGTATATAGTCTATAGAAAGGCATAGCCTAAGCCTATACCCCTAGCTAGCGTGAACCGCTTTAGAAAACATCGAAAATGATAGACCTAAAACATTAACATTAACTTAAGTAATTTATTAAGTAAGTTATTAAATAAATATTACAATCCTAAAATAAGAATTACACCGCAGTTGTGCACATACCATATATATTGAATTAGCAATAGAACGCAACCTAACCTAGGCCTGAAAACACGATCGGACGAGGATCGTAACAAGATTCATAACCCGATGAAATTACGATGTTCAGGCGGTGTCTAATTACACTGCACCAAGTCTACGCTCTGCGGCGAAGGACCTAGCACGACGGCCACACACAATTGAAAGACACATTTTAATATCTCTAGCCGCCGTTCGTTATTAATTATATCTCAAATTTAATAACGTAGTAGTTATAATAATATATTTTCATACATTCCTTGGTCGTGAACGATTCGGTTGAGTTCAGACCTAAAAAAAAATTACTGAACTTTTTAAACTCGCTGTACTATCAAGGACTTTTAACTGTTACCAGGATAGGAAGCTGGCTAGTTTAAGCCGGCCATCTTGAATTTCAAAATTGCTGCTACGCAAATCCTATATTTATCAATATATGGGTTTTTAAACCATTTTAATGAGAATTAGGCCTATGATATCTAAAATTATATTTCATGGTCAAGGATTTATAACACTTGTGACATGGTCAGATGGTTATTAATGTCATAAAAGGTCATTTAAGGTCATTCAATGTATATACCATACCATTACCATTTTTTACCTGGTCAGATTGCCACAAATAGGTCATTTAAGGTCATTCAAGTTCAAATATTGTATGGTAT